CGGGGCCTACGGCCGGTACTTCCACCGCCTTCGGTGCAGCGGGGATTCCTCCACCCTTGCCGCTGCTTAACTCTTGCCGTGCGTCGGCTGGGACACCCCCTACTGCTGCTGCTGCTGCTGCTGCTGCTGCTGTGGGCCTTGACCGTTGAGCAGGGGCCTCCGCAGAACGGACCGCGTCATTTACCATGGGCATGGCGTTTGCCCCGCCTCTCTCGCTGCTGCCACCTGCGCCCATCGAAGCCGCGGAAGAACCTTCCGGCGTTGCCGCTGCCCCCGCCGCCGGGGGGGCTGGTATCAGACGTATCAGAGGTAGACCAACGCTCGCCACGCCCCCACCAGCACCACCAGTGCCGTCCTCTTCTCTCTTCCGCTTGGCCGCCGCCTTGGCCCCGTCCTCGTCCGCGTCTTGGTCCTCTTCCCTCTTGCGCTTTGCCGCCACCTTCGTCGGTTCCTCTTCGTCCGCCGGAACTGCAGCCTCGCCTCGCGCCGCCCCTGAAGCCTCCGCGCTCGGCCCGGCCGCCGCCGCCGTCGTCGCCGCCGCCGCAGCCTCGTCGCCACGGCCTGAATCCCTCTCGCCGTCGATGACGCGGTATCGGTCGCCGACGCTGCCGCTTCGGCTCGTCCCTCCGGCTCCGCCATCGCGAGCCTTTTCCTCCGGCACAGCCACGGCGGAGGTTGCGGCGTCGCCGCATCGAGGGGATGGTACGTCTTCGTCCCCGGCACCACCACCACCCGCCGCCTCCAACGGGACCCCCTTCTCCGGGGGAGTACTACCACCTCGATCGCGCTCGTTTACCCCCCCCGGCAGGTGCGGGTGCGCAGACAAAGGAGAAGGAGGATCCACATCCATAACGTTCAACACCTCGTTGGCAGTGTCACCGACTTCCTCCTCCTCAAGCTGCTGCTGCTGCCGCCGCCGCCGCTGCTGCTGCATCTCCTGCACGCTGTTGAGCGAAGCTGGCGGGACGGGCTGGCAGTACCGGATGTGGTTGCACGGGTCCCCGAGAGAGAGGAACTGTCTCGCGGTCGGCGGGGCGGGGGGCGGGGGGGGCAACCGAGTACCGGAGGGCAAGGGGAAAGTGAGGAAGTGGGTCGGTCTACCGCATGGATCGTGATGGTGCCGCTTGGTGCGCTCCTATCGCAGATCGCGAAAGCACTCGATAAGGCGGTATGGCCGCGTTGTTGTTGTTTCCACACTCAAATAGTACAGTGTTGGACCGCGAAATACGCAGTTTCGCGGGTTTGATTTTGGCAAGTTCGCAGCCGCGATCAACTCGACACTTGCAGAATGCACAAAAACACGTGATCACTATTGTACTACACGGCGCTGAGCTTTTCCCGCAACAAGACCCGTTGTTTCCAAGACAGCCTCGAACCAAAAACAGCTACCAGCCAATTGGGTTGCTGTGCAACCAATAGAGCGGAAACAAATGTTCTTCCGCTGCTGGCGCTGCAAGGCCTTGGGAAAGGAGATGGCTGCGAAAACGCGGCCACGGTATGACGAGGTCGGAGTTGCAGCAGGCCAGCGAAGGAAAATGCTCTTCCGCTGCTGGTCGCCGCAAGGCCTTCTGAGCCTACTGCAACACCGATCTCGCCATATCGTGGCACATTTTCGCAGCTGCCTCTATTTCTAAGGCCTTGCGGCACCAGCAGCGGAAGGACATTTCCTTCCAATAAACAGCATTGGTGGTACCGTAGTTGGTTCCGCATCGCACCAAACAACCCCACGCAACGTTCGAGCCGTGCCGAGCCCAAACAAAAGAGCGCCGAGGAAAAGACCAGACTATTCCCTCGCCCGCCCCGAGGCTGACCCTTAGACCCTTACCCCCTCCTTTCTTTCGTTCCCACGCTCTGTCTCGCTCTCACCTCCCATGGAATGTCGCCCCTGTACAACACCTCGTGCTTTCCTGACAAGGGCTCGTACCCCTGAAAGGCCACGATTCACCGAGGACGAACGTCCGGGACGCGGCATGTTTTACGACGGATCGAGACCAACAACAGACGGCCAATCCAACAAGGGGACACAGCGGCGGCGATGAACCAACAAAACGTTAGCAAGAGAGTGCATGGAACGGCCTTGGGTCTGTCGGGAGCGAGTGCATCGTGACGCCCACAGAGTGGAACCACAAACTGCTGTGGCCGAACAACAAACCCAACAAATCTGCCAAACAAACAGGTGGGTACCACGGTGGGGCCGTCGATGCGAGGGCGATACAAGTATACACGACTCGCACCCATCCTCTCTCTGCCTGCCACCCCCCGCCCCGCCCGCCAGGTGTAAAAACGACGGGCTCCCTTCATAAAAAGCCGAAAACAAACAAAAAAAAAAGTTGGCCGATCTCCTTTCTTTCCCCCTCTCATCCACAATGCTCTCCTCTCGCACCCAACCCTCGCCCTATACAACGCATTTCTTTCCCCCTATCAACCGCAACGCCCCTCCCTCCACATCGTCTTCGATTGATCTCCTCACCCTTACGGTGGCCATCTTCCACTTCCCGTCCCGCCTGCACACGCCGATGCCGCGCCCGGTGAACGAGTCCGGGCTCTCCGTGACGCACGACTCGCAGAACCAGTACCGCTCCTTCTTGGTGCATGCCTTGGAGGGCCTTCCCCCCGTTGCCGCCGGTGGCGGGTCTCGGCGGAGCTTGGTGCACTTGGCGCAGTTGATGCGGAGCCCGGTGCCGAAAACGGCCGCCGCCGGTTGCTGCTGCTGTTGCTGCTGCCGCTGCTGCTTTGTCCAGGTACGAAAAAAAAACAAACACACACACACACA